GCTGTTGTCGCCCTGTTGATGACGTCAGCGACGCGGTTTAGTTGGGCGCGGTTTTGTCGTTCGCTCTTTTGTCGGTGAACTGATTATACATATCTCGAGTTTCTCGACTCCATATTTAGACTTATTATTTTTTCTGTTTTCTTCTTTATATTTTTTACTTCATATATCCGAAAATGGCAAGATGTTTCTAAAATAGCCATCTTCTCTTCACATGTTGCATAATAGTAATGCAATCTTTGTTGTCCTTTACATTGTTTTCAGAACAGGAGAAGGTATACATTATAAATCAGGGGTGTCAAACTCATGTCGTCATGGCAGCATCACATGACGTATCGGGACTTTCCCTTCTTCGCTAAACCGGGAGGGGGTGTGGCTAGCATGTGATGCATCCAGTCCGCAGGGCCGGGTGTTAGAAAACCCTGCTCTAAATCAATGTTTTAAGAAACTGATTTTCCTCTAACATGCCAATCGTAATTATATCTACAGTCTAATATAATAAGAATTGGATAGAGGTCTCTATGGAAACTCTATGGAGACAGAGTCAGAGAAAGGGAAAGAATTTGCTTATAATGTGCAAAACAAAAGCTTAAACATCAAGATGAATATACATTAAACTTACACCAATTTCTAACTTTAAATTGTGGCTATGGGGAATTTTAACTTACTGTCAATTTCAAACAGCAAGATCCCCACTTGGTTTGCTACTTTGATAGCTTTATTTAAAAAGCAACGTACCTGCAGACATGCTGGTGCTCTTCCTTGAGGCTTATTCACATCAACATCTACCAGCTGCCATCCTCCTGTAGCATCTTCATGAAACATCTGGAGGGGGAAAACACTTGTCAGAATCTATTTATGCGCTCAGATCTACAAACAAAATGGGTGATGCTTATTTTGTGACCATCCTTTTCTCTACATTGCATCCTTTTCTTCTCAGAAATCTCTTGTTATTACAGAGAATTGCAGACTCCATTGACTTCATACTATATTATTCCGCTGCCTTTGTCATGGAATGGTTACTGATTTTTAGTTACAGATTTTATAGTTGGTGCTGAACGTAGGATTGCAAACAGGAACCAATTTAATTTCTTGCATGAGAAATTCTTCCATGCAGAAAACTGTATACAATGCACATAAAATAGTCATGACTGGCAACAGAACAGAGATATTAAGGTAAAGTAAAAGTTCCCCTCTCACATATATGCTAATCATTCCTGACTCTAGGGGGAGATGATCATCTTGAGCTTGTTTGGAGGTTCTAGCAGGGAGCGCAGCTATCGTGTACCCTTGACC